TTAAGTTTGTGTTTTTAATTTTAACTTTGTACGCTTTTCATTTTTAGTTTGAATGCGTTTCATTTTAACTTTGCGTGCTATTTTTAAAGTTTACTTGCCTGTCCTAAAATTTGTACACATTTTGCTAAGTTTGTACGCATTTTGTTAAGTTTGCATGTCCATTATTAAGTTTGTACGCATTTTGTTAAGTTTGCATGTCCTTTATTAAGTTTGTTAGCGCTTTTTACAGTTTGCGTGCATTTTATTAAGTTTGCTGGCTTTCTGTTAAGTTTGTCCGTAAATTATTAAGTTTGCATGTGTTTTGTGTAAATAACGTACGTAATTTGTCCATGCCACGGTATAGACGTCTAAATATGATAAGAACATCAGTGACACAGGGCGTATGTTTTACCACATTTTGACCTCATCTGTGATCTATTAGTGAAAATATGCACAGCAACATGGAATCTATGGGTTTAATGTAGGGCATGCAGAATAGCCAATCAAATTGCAGTATTGCTAATCATGCTTGTAGATTTCTACAAAGTGCTGTTGTCCTTCTCAAACAAAAGATGTCTTCCTCAGTTGTCACACAAACACTCGACTTAAGTATATCATTTGACGTGACTTGTATTCATTGAGCTGGAAAACTGAGCGACCCTAAAACCAGGAACGATGGAACGACGGAACGATGGAACGATGGAACGATGGAACGACGGAATAACGGAACGCCGGAATGACGGAATATGACCCCAAATCCTAAAACCAGGAACGACGGAATGCCGGAATGACGGAATGACGGAATATGACCCCAAATCCTAAAACCCGGAACGGATGGACATGTTGCACGAAGTGTGTACAAAGACATTCAAGCACTTGGCTCATTCATCCCCAAGACGATAACGCACGTGACTAAAACTAAGTGTTGATTTTTTTTCCTTTACTAAGTGTTATGAATAATTATGAGCCATTATACATGAAAGGTAGCTGCGTTGTAAACCTGTTTATTTATCTTTTGTTGTGCTAAATATGCCATGAGTTTTAGTCGCGGCATAAGAAGTTGCACAGCATGTGAAAACGAACTTGACCTACCACATTGCAATAAACAACTGGAACATATGTTTCGTGGTCACGTCTGCATGTTTTTCATGAAACATATGCTTGTAAGCGTGAGAAAATCACGGGAACCTCAAAATATAACGACGTTCAGCCACAGGTCCAAACTTAGACTAGCGTAAGAGTAAGCCCTAGTTTCGAGCCCTTTAATAAGAGCTTTTCTTCGTCCACGAATACATTTTAGACCTCGAGTAACACTAGCTGAAGAGAGGTTACATGGGGTCATCGCGTGGGAATTTCTCGTGGCGTTAAAAGACAAAAGGAAGTTAGCAGAAGGAAGCCGTCCAGAAGAATTTCAAGAATTCCTTTTTCACAAGGTGTCCAAAACACCACCATCCTCCTATGAAATGCATGGCTCACGGATCAGCGAAAGAACTAGACTTTGCGAACACAAAGAGGCTATGTTACCAATTCGTTTAGTGGATTTCTTCTTTTCCTCAGCAAATTGCAAATCTTCAACTCTCAGACGTTTTTAAAATTGGCTTTCCAAGGGAAATGTAATTCTTTGTCTTTTGACGCCACGATAACTTCCCACACGCGTGACCCTGCAAACCTTTCTTTACTTTAATAGGGCCTACAGCACGAGCGACCTTAGACAAATTTTCTTGTCATCACCATCGGCATAGGGGCAACTATCAGCCGATAGTTCCTCGACAGAAACACTCTATTGTTTAACTAGGTATTTCAGTGTAGCGCGAAATTCTGTGATCTCGTCTTATAAGATCACTGACAAAAGGAAGATAGATAAATTCAGTAATAACATACTGTATACATAAAGGAAAAACGTGAAGCAACTGATAGTGCACACACAAATCGACTCAAAAGGCACACGGATAACTCAACAGTGGAGGATCGTAAACGTAGTATTTTAGATATAAATTAAAGTGCAGTGTTTATGTGGCAGTTTCGCTTTCGCATTACGGAAATTCCGAGATCTCGTCTGATAACATCAATCACAAAAGGAAGAGAGAGAAATCTGGTATTTACACACTGTATACACGTTTTTCGAGGTGTGCGGTGTGCGATCTGCCAAGTGCTTGAATGTACAAACTTTCGTGCAACATGTCCTGCTACTACATCCGTTCCAGGTTTTAGGATTTGGGGTCATATTCCGTCATTCCGTCATTCCGGCATTCCATCGTTCTTGATTTTAGGGTCGCCCGGAAAACTGCCGGTGTAAGAATAACAAAACCATTACATGTGCCCTCGTCACTGAAGCGAGGCTAGTCTGCTCTGACAGCCGTTCTTTGTCTCGGGATCCCTGTGTCTCCCTGTGTCTCCTTCCCCACAAATAACGGCTGCGAGAGGAGACTAAAGCGAGGCTAGATCGAGCCAAATTTCACGTTTTGTCCAGGGACAATTCATTCACTCCTACATCTATGAAGTAGTGAATTTTTGGTAACACTGGTGAGTCACGGTGTGATTGTTTATTGAGAACGTTCCGGCTTTTGGGAAAAAGAGATCTTTCCACCATGTCAAACAGGAAAAGAAAGCAGAGGCCACCTGAGAGGTTCAGTGAAGACAAGCGAGCAAAATTGACCTGGAATATGCTTGATTTCCATTTGCCGGCTTCAGATTCAGCTGACCACACCACGATTAATTTCACTGATTCTTCCTCTTTGATCAATGATGGAGCCAACACTCCAACAGCTACCAGTCCTCGAAAGAAGAATAAACGAAGGGTATTGGATCGTAATAGAAGCATCGAGCTTAATCTGGATAACTGTTACCCTCAAAGCTGTATATGTCAGTTGGGTTTGTTTAACATCAATTTGTGCACGAGTGAAACTCAAAGGGATGAGTTGAAATCACAGAATGGAACTTATATCTCTGATGACTTGTGGACGGCGGATTGTTATCACTTCGTCGTAGTAAGATTGTCCTTTGAGCAAAAGCATCCATTAACAGTCGAGCCGACCTCGTCTGGTTTAAACAATGACTACTTGAGACAAGCCTCTTTTAAAGCAACAGTTCCGTCCGTTTCCACAGATCAACTTGAAGCTTTAGTTTACCTGCAGAACAAAGGGGTGATCTCCCTGGTGCTGAAACCAGAGCAGCACGTTTTGAAAGAAAGCTGGGAAGTTGTAGTGTGCTTGAATGAGAATGGCCTAACCAAGCTGTCTTCTGCATGTGCCAATGTCACAAATAGGAAAATTGACCGGTTGATGAAAGTGTTGATAGAATGGTTTTATAAAATATCTGTGAGAGATAATGAGTTTGTTTTGCAAGACTGCAATAATGCAGGTGTAGACAAAGGTTTTGATGAACTGTACAATGCTATAAAGGCAGTTCAAAAAGGCAATTGCTCATCCACATCACCACTAAGGTCCTCCCACTCTAACACTCCCCTCAGCCTTGTACGTGAAAAACCAGACAGAAATAGCAGTTGTACCTGTAATGCAGAGATTGACAGATTCAATGGAGAAATTAATTTTGATGTACAGCATCCTCATCTCAGTCCTGTGTTAAGAGGTTATCAAAGAAGAGCTGTTGAATGGATGCTGCAGAGAGAACTTGCCTGTCAAGTGGCATGTGGATGTCAAGGGAAACAACTAGATGGTATGTAGAATATTACATGCAATGTAATGGGATGGTACAGCAGTGAAAGCTCTCACCTTGCACCATTGTGGCCTGGATTCGAATCCTGGACTCTTGGTTTTTCTCAAGATCCCCTGGTTTTCCTTCCTCCACAAAAGCTAGCACACCAAATTCAAATTTGACTTGAAGGTAGAGGACAAGGGCCACCTAGTGGAACATCCATTGTTAAATTCCCATTTGTTCTTTTTGATTGCATAAAGAGACTGTTTTGCTAAGTGCTTGCTTATTGTTCAGAATCACTGAATTCCTAGCCTATTAGGTTAGTTTTGGAGCTGCTAGTTGCATGAACTCCTTTGGTGCTGAGAGTTTCAAGGGTATGGAAGACTGAAGAAACTTTCTTGGGCAATCTTTTGGCAATTAAGACAGTCTTGTCAACTAAGATCCACATTTTGCTAATGAAAACAACACTTGTTTTTTTAATTGACACCTCATGTAATTATACACAGACAGTATTCTCCAAATACGGTCATGGAAACCATATATGTAACAGGTAGTAAAGCCACATTTAACAAGTCGTTACTCGAGCTAAAGGGCCCAGCTAGCTAGAGCTTATCCTGGTATGCATAGCATGAAGTGACTTGGAGTAATTACTACCCCCTCCTGGATGGAATGACAAATCATTGCAAGGTTACCTTCCAGCATTTCATTCCCTGACAGTTCACTGCCTTCCATTTATACTCCAAGGTGTAGAGACACACTGTGGAAGTGAAGTGTTTTGCCAAAGAACACAACAAGTTGACCCAGCTCGGTCCCAAATCTGAACCTCTTTGCCTAGAGTCCAGTGCATTAGGTCACTGCATCTCCCACAAATTATGAAAAACTTGAAAGTTAAAAATGAACATCATTAATTTATTTATTCCTGCTTTATTTTATTATATACAGCTGATAGTCTTCACCCATTATGGCAGAAAATTCACACTTTGGATGGAAAGTTAATTTACTACAGTCCTTATACTGGAAGGTGTGTGATGGTTTTGCCGAATAAACAAATTTTTAGGCTAGACAAACCAATCTGTTTGGCTCTTTACCTCAGCCTCATCATTTGCAACCGCTTTTAATTTAGACTTCTGTGCAGCAGAAAACTGAGAAATGAGTAGGAGAGGGGTTTGGGTAAGAAGGTTACGTAGCATAGAATTCTCTCCCTAAGGGAGAAACCCTAGCACTTATTTATTTCCCTGTCTCTTCTCCCCTCCTTAGACCAAAGAATGTTTGTGAAGACTATATTTGAGAGTCTTGTATGCCCATGAAGGTGAAACAACATGATGTCCCAGGCTGGCATTGAATAAACTGTATATCTCAGAGTCATTTTGTCGAAGCAAGAAAGAGCTGTGCTTCCCATAGTTTGACCCTGTCACCCTGTCACTCTCACATCCTCCCAAAATCCTCCTTACTCCCTGCCATTTCATAAAAAGTTTTTTCAGAGAAAAGGAAAGTCTTAAGCACTCTAAACAACAAATGTGTCTAGTTACAATGATAAGGTTGAGATCGGACGTCAGCATTATCAGGCGCCTCTTGCAGCCGCTTCAGTCCATGTAACAATCTCACCTTCCCGTCCATCCCACCCAGGGGAGGACATCCACCACACAGTAATTTCATGTGTGGGAAATTAACGTCTCCTACCCCTAACCCTGCAGGAGACGGGGCCTACGGTTTATTCGTCCTTATCCAAGAAGACTAGAATATCTATCCATTTCTTGATGTTATGGAAAGATAGTAAATTTTCCTCAGTTATTTTAAGACCATGAGTATTGGTCCGGCCGGGGCACGAACCCTCGACCTCCCACGCAACACAATCCGGCACTCTAACCAATTGAGCTAACCAGGAGGCGGTTCTAAACCGAGAGTTTGGTATTAGATCAACTTTTAATCCAGCGCCCTGTAATTGATTTTTTTTTCTAATTTCTCATAACTTTTAATCCTGTAATTGATTTTTTTTGTCTAATTTCTCATAACTTAATTGTCTGCTTGACAGTGTATTGATTTTGTGAGTAGAAATTATGTGTTATTATCAATTACTGAATGTTTTATCTTTAGTAATTTTTTTTATATCGATCTTCTTTAGACTTACAAGAGAGAGATTTTGTCAGCCATCCCTGCCTCTTGGAGGAATTTTAGCAGATGAAATGGGTCTGGGAAAGACAGTTGAGGTCATTGCTTGTATTTTGTGTCATCCAAAGCCTTTATTAGAGCACAAATTGATGGATCACAAAACAGCTTCTGAACCAGACAATGAAACATGTACATGCAACAGCATGTTACAAGAAAGTTCTAAATCAAAACTTAGGGAGAGTGAAATAAATTGCCAAAAAGGAAATACTACTAGTGATACAGTTGAAGCAGGGTTAGGTCAAAAGACACCATCATCTAATGATGATTCGTGTGAGCTTGCACATGGTACAGATGGACAAAAAATGACCAAAACTAGTTCAGTTATTTCTACACCAGATGAAGAAAGTGCTGCCCAATACATGAAATGCCAGTGTATCTGTGGTGTCAATTTGGCCAGTTGTGATGAAAAATTGCTGCAGTGTTGCGAATGCCAGGCAGTGTTCCATGCTACATGCCTTGGTTACGATTATCCCAGTGGGTTTTTATGTCCACATTGTGCAGTAAGTGGGCCAGCCATTCCATCCAGAGCAACACTGATCATTTCTCCTGCTCCAATTGCACAACAGTGGGTTGAGGAGGTCTCCAGACATACAAAACCATCTACAGTTAAGTTGCTGGTAAGAAAGAGTGTAGTCTTTTCAAGATGTTTTTTTTTTTTTTTTTGACCCGTAAGAGCTTCTTTTATGTCATAAGTTTGAGTATTCTCATTACCTGTCTGCTAGTTAATGTATGGATCTTATCAGGAGAAGTTACATGTTCGTCGCTTCTGGGAGTTAAAGGGTTTTAAAATTTCTTTGAGTTATCTGATGAGTCTCTCAACCAAGGGAAAATGCCATGTTATACCTGCTGAAGATGCACAAACTATGTTTTCCCCGGTCTTCAGTCATTAGACTACCCTGCGAGCAAAGCCTTTTCTTCTTTTCTTCTCCTTTTCTTCTTTCTAACCCTCCAAGGGAAAAGGCTCTGCCGACATCCTGTTGTTGCTTTGAAATGCTGAAAGCTACTCAAGCCGGTTTTGCCTCCAGTCATACTGGTTTTGGTGCGCATGCCTTTGTTTTTCATGTAGACAGATGACCAAATCTACGCCCACAATGTAGTATGGCGTCAGTTTCTAGGCAACCGCCGTGCATGTTCAAATGAGCAACAACAGGATGTCGGCAGAGCCTTTTTCCCTTTTTGATTGGAGGACGGGTTAAAAAGGCTCTGCTCGCAGGGCAGGTTATCATTAGACATGATAAGGAGAAAAGGAATCAATGCAGGTGTCTCTGGACACATGCAGTATTTCTACACACAGTCCTTTCTCATTCTTCCTCTCCTTCCACCTCAGTTTGCATACTTTTTTTTTTTATTACAATTTAATGGCAATGATGACGAATAAATAAATCTAAATGACTGTACAAACAAACAAAGCCATAAGGATAATCTGTAAAAGGGTGGAACACTCCATGCAAGACAGATTCCCCTGTAGCTAATCTAAATCAGTCAAATATAATGATGCAGCGACAGAAAAATTTCAGATAAAAAATAAAAACATTAAAAACGTCAATATTCCTTACTTAAAAACTTCCTCACTCTAGACTTAAAAACTACAAGACTAGGAGATAATCTAATATCAAAGGGTATCGAATAATTCCACATTTCAACAATTCTATTAATAAAAATAAGTGGATTTAAAATTAGTTGTTCTCGCATGGTTCATGTGATCAACTCTGTATTGCGTGGTCCTGGTCTTAGCCCAGGCCGGGGACATTGTGTTGTGTTCTTAGGCAAAGCACTTTACACTCACAGTGTCTCTCTTTGTCCAGGTGTTTAACTGGGTACGGGCAAATTTAATGCTGGGGGGTAACCCTGCGATGGACTGGCATCCCATCCAGGGGGGAGTAGAAATACTCCCAGTCGCTTTATGCTACAAAAACTGAAGTTAAGCACCAGCCTGATGGGCCACTTGGCCAATAAACAGACTTTATCTTCAGGACTTGAAATTAATGGTAACCTGTTAACCAATGGTTAGTAATTTTCAACGTTTGGTTACTAAAAATGTGTCCAACTAACCCGACATGGTTAGTAAAATTAACATATTTTAACACTGGTGGACTTCGGGACAAAGAGCACATAGACTTGACTCTCAGAGGAATACTTAGAATACTCAAGTTGTTAAATCAACTTAAACTATTTTTAGAGAATGTGCTGTAGATGTACTGTTCTTGACTAATCATGGTAAACAAGATGGAAATAAAATAAATGCATATTATCAACATTTTTAAGGTCACCGTGCAATTTCAGCTACTCTTTAATTTGTCCTAGTCGTTATTATCAAAATGTTGAATATTTGAGATATCGTAACTTGTGAGCTTGGATATCAAACTTTATAATTTGGTTAGTGAAAAAGATGTCTACTAACCCGAAGGGTTAGTGCTCCAAAAATTAATTTCGAGCCCTGAATTCTTTACATACTTTCTCTTACCTTCCTTCAGTTATGTAATACCAAGATAGATAAGGACATTTCTAATCAAAGTTTGAAAGACTGGCCTACACGTACCTAGACCCATTTGCAGGTGAGGCCAATTAAAAATCAAACTTGAGATACAAAAGTAAAGATGATTGTTCTTGTATTTTGGCAGGTTTATGAAGGTGTGGCCAAGATGGGTTTTATTGCCCCTCAGGTCCTTGCAGACCATGATGTAATCTTAACCACATATTCAACCCTAAGATCAGATTTCCATCACTTAGGATCCAAGCAAGGTGAATGAAAAACAAGCGATGGCTTTAAATAACCTGTAAATGAACGGTCTTGGTTTTGTTGCTACATTTTATACTACAAATGGCAGTGATGTTGCAATCTGATTGGTCAATTTGCCATTATCCATAAGAGTACAGACAATGCTGTTTGCATCAGTGTGTTACAATCTTGGTCATGCACTGAAAGAATTAACTTATTTGACATTGATATCGTGGTAAAAACAAATCGACAGTGGCTTAGCTGGGTCTGTACTCTTATCGACATTGATATTCGTCATCAAAGTGGTCTAAATGAGTGCTGTGGGAGTCCATAACATTTTGACCACTGATGAGCGATATTGTTGTTGATAAGAGTATAGTCCATGCTAAACCACTGTTGATTTGTTAAATTTTAAGTTTACCTTTAAGTTTCAATTTTTCAGGAAATGGTGGACGGTCTCTGCGGTACGAAAAGCGATATGCCGCATTACCAAGCCCTCTAACAGCTGTCATGTTTTGGCGGATCTGTCTTGATGAAGCTCAAATGGTGGAAAGCACAACAGCTAAGGTTTGGTCTTAAAAAACGTTGAGCTGCATGGCTGTGAAGCTCTTGATTTTGTAATCCTTTCTGATCTTTTACCTCATTAACCTTAAACATTTTGTTCCTTTGTGGTTAATTCCTTTGACCTCATTTTTTAAACAAAAATTTTACTTTTTGGGTTTCCTAAAACTTCTTTATACCCTGCAAAAAAACAAGGAGCATGTTATGGCAGCTCCTTAAAACCTTTTTTGTGGAATTTGTGATGTGTTGTTTTTGATTATGATAAGTTTCATTTTGCAGGCAGCTGAAGTGGCTTTATGTTTGCACAGTGTACACAAATGGTGTGTCACAGGAACACCAATACAGAAGGGACTTGAAGGTGATGCTGGATTGTGTGTATGTCTTTTCTGATCAGCAATAAGTGTGAGAAAAGTTGGTGTAGGGTCGTAGCAGTGTAAATTAACAGGCCTTGTCAGGTCGATGTGTTGGGTTCTTTCTCTCAAAACTGCCTCTCTCCACCCAGGAGAATAAATGCGTATCAGTGAATTGTCAGGGAAGCCGATGAAATTCTGGAGGGGGGGTAACCTTGCCATGGACTGGCATCCATTAGGGAGGGGTGGGGAGGAGTAGTAATTCTCCTAGTCACTTTATGCTATGGAGACTGGGATAAGCTCCAGCTCCAGCTGGGTGGGCTGGAGTACAGACTCAACCCTTGAACTCCCATGTTCTGATTGTTAATTCTCACTTCTTGCTGCTACACATTTCTTTGTAAATTACTTACAAGATTTTGGTGTTATATCAATAGGACAGCTTCCACCTTATAAGTTTGAGTATTCTTATTACCTGTTTGCTGGATAATGTATAAATAATATGGGGGAGGGGGAGTTACATGTTAATCACCCCTGGGACTTTTAAAGGGTTACTCTAATCTGAAAAACATGCAGTTCTACTCAGGCTCTAGATTCTCAATGCTGATTTGTGACTGGACATGAGCTAGCTAGAATTTTAAAACCCAAGCTCCCTACAGAGTGCCTTAGTAATGAAAGATGCTGTGTCATTTTATTTAGATATTTATGGGCTACTTTTGTTTCTTGGGGTGGATCCTTACTGTCGTCAAAAATGGTGGAAGAGCTTGCTGTATGAACCATACAGGAATGGAGATAAACAACCTTTGTATGAACTCTTGGCCAAGATCTTGTGGCGAAGTGTAAAGAAAGATGTTTTCTGTGAGGTACTGAATAGCAAAGTTTTTGTTTGTGCCTTGTGAGTGTAGGGTACATGTACATTCACTAGTTTCTGATGGGTTGGATGGGTCAAAAGCAGATTGTAAAATTGCACATAATATAGGTGCCAGTGTAACTAAATTTTTTGGCCAAATTCTGAAATTAGTTGTCATTTTGGCAACTAGATTGCTTCATTGCACTTTACTCAGAGATGTATAGCAAAGATAAAAATTTGTAGATGCCATCTTGTTTTCTGAGCAAAGTTTGGAGTCTCTCCAAACTTTGTTCATTATTTTCGTCGTGATAATTTCTCTTAGACTAGAGCCTGAATAAGCTAAGAGATATTTTGAGATAATTACACCTTATCTACTTCAAGTTGAGTTACTTATATGCAATCCCGTTGTTAGAATACTTTTGGTTTCAGACAAGTTGTAAATTAAATTAAAGTGAAATACCTACAGATCTGCTGGGGGGGGGTGGTGGGGGTCCAGATCCTTTGTACCTTCCCCCCTGGATCTACCACTGCTGAGGTCTAGTGGCTAACTCCTCACTGTTAATACCTTTTTTTTTGTAGATTCAACTCCCAGAGCAGGATGAGAGAGTAAAATGGCTAACATTTTCCCCTGTGGAGCAACATTTCTATCATCGTCAGCATGAAGAATGTGCAAACACTGCTATGAAGGTATTTATTTTACAAATTTTGTGTCTACTTCTCTTTCCCTTAGTAACAATGTACAGTCAGCTCTTTCGGAAAGATTAAAAAATCAGTTTAGATATCGTAAGAAAAGTATTCTCTTGAAACCATATATTAATTGTTATCTTAATCATTAAAATGGCAATGTTTGTATTTGTATTTGTACTTTGAATGACAATTTTTTTTTACCTCAAAATGCCCTTGTATTGTCAATATAATCATTTAGTATAATTTCAGAGCTGAGCAAAGAGTTTTCAGCAATCTGATTG